TTCCCGACGGCGGCTGGACAGCCGAAAGCAGAGGTGGCGCCCGGCCGCCTCACTGCAGCCCGCACGCCGGGCTCCTGCGTCCTCACATCCACCGGGCCGCCGGTTCCGTTAAACGCCAAACGGCGGAGACAATTCAGTTGCAGTCTGCTTGAATCCACTCACACACCGCCTTGAAGCGTCTAGAACAAAGACCTTTCTGTTGACGTGAGCCGGAACACCTCTTGCGGGCTCTTTCCGGCTACTACCTCAGCGGCCATCCATGAAGAGACTGGAGCTTCCTCTGGGCCGCAGCGCTCCCCTGCCTCAGGGCAGCACTGTTCTTCTCAGCTGAACTAAAACTTTCCATGTCTAATAGCAGATGTTAAAAAGCTTTCAGAGGCAAAAAAAAATATGATCAGACACCTACTTGATTTCAGCTCCTTAATGACAGAATAGGAACAGCCACAGTCGACCAAGTAAAACTCCTGCAAACAAGACAGTCTCTAGCAATTCTGCCTTCTGCCAGCATCAAGTTCCCTTCCCCGAGATGTTACACTCGCCACTTCAGCTCTTCAGAGTCAAGGGGTTTTTTTTTAAAGACACTTTTCTTTGGTCATTTTTGCTGATAACACCGGTAACATTCTTTAAATCATCCGGAAGTGATATATAAGTGTGGGTACATGGAGCAGAAGAACATACCCTACGAATACTTTTCAAGGCAGTACTAATATAGTTAACAGCTACCTCTTGAATCTTATACTTCAAAACACTTAACAGCTTATTATCCCATTTTAAAGATGCTGAAACAGCCACAGGAAGAACAAACAGATTTGTGTTAGGTCAGGTATTAGACCAATGGCCAAGACAGGAACCGATCTCAGAGATTTCGAGTTACACAAGACTGTTCTAGCTACTAGGAAACACTGCCTCCTCCCGCCTTCTTTTTTAAGCGGCTTTCTACACAGTTCTCAAATGCAAAAGACAATTAAGAGGGGTGTGATAACTTAGGCTCCGGGTCCTTTCTTAGTGACAACAATGGTGCCAGTTGATGTCCAAAGGACTTGTTATGGCTTCTGCATTGGTGGTAAACTATAGGATTTGAACTTATCTATTAAAATCCATCACAAGTTAGCAAAGGAAAAGACAGGTGCCGCTGAGGAACATCAAGCACGTAGCATTTATCAATACTGTGGGAAGGATACATGCGGTATTTAGGTTTCCACATCTGTACACATACCTATTTTTATCAGCAACGTGTCTGTATCTTCAAGGAATAAAACAGGAGAAAGAGAATGCTAATTGCAGGACACTGTCTGGCCTTTTCAGGCCTCTGCCATGGGCAACAGTAAGCGACAACTAATGATGGTTTGTTTTCCAGTTTGCCTAGTCACCTCATAAAGCAGAAACAGAAACAGCTGCAAAACATGGGGAGGTGCAAGCCCAAGAGAAACAACCGTTAACTTCAGCCAGTTTTAATAGGAAGCAGCTTTGCCACTCGCACCCTTCCAGCGTTCACGCATCTAAACCACTAGATGGCAAACCACCTTTGAGACAGCCAGCGGGAGACCGCACTGTTCAGTCCCCAGAGTACAAGGTTGAGTTTGGGCTGAAAGTGAGTATTTTCACTCCATTAGAATCTTTCTGGTGCTACGGTATGTCACGTCTGAACAACGGCCAGAACAGGCTAAACCGTAACAATCGTGTGACATACATAGGTCAAACGGAGTAAGAGCAGTATTTCAAGCTTGCAAATTGACCTATCAGTTCGCTCAATTTTATGCACAATTTTGTGGGGGCAGGCTTTCCACTGAACTGAATTGTCAGAAAAGGCTTTTTTTTTTGGTAATATGATTTGAGAGCAGGTGTAACTTAAGGGAGAACCAAGTTACTGAACCAGCATACAATCTCAACAAGAACCTCTTAGTCAAAAATCACTGACTGCTCTGTGATTCCCACAGCTGGCAATGCCCGCTTAAAGAGTTCCTGCATCTTCTCACTGCAGTGTAACCCCTTTTTGGTTGTCCTAATGCAGGACAGCATACTCTGAAGTAACTCAGCATCCTTAACAGCAAAGGCGACAAAATAAACTAGCCACTGTAGAGGTCCTTATTTCCAGAGTTCAGCCTAGTTTAGTTTTGGATGCAGCTTGATATTCCTCCAGTGCAGAACACACATCCCTTGGCTTGGGACAGTGGGAGAAATCTCTGCTCTTATTAAAGGTACGTGGAACCTCATGGCAGAGAGAAATTTTTACATCTAGCCCAAAGTTAAACTACTCCAAACAGACCAGACAGTTGAAGTCTGTATATTACAGACCTTAGAATAAGTCAGCTTTCTTCCTTCAAACTTTCAAAAAAAAAAAATTCTTGCAGTGTTTCATGGTGCTCAGTAGTTGTATTCCGCCCGAGATACCTTGTTAATGGAGCACAGTGCAATGCAGTTATTTCAGGATGAAAAATGGACTTGGACTTCACATTACAAATTTTGTATTAATTGCCAGCAAAATTATTTGCCTCTTAGAACTTGGCTTTTCATATTTATTTCTGTTTTTGATCTAGTAAGAGAAAAGGGACTTTGCTGTTTAACATAGTTTAAACAACAGAGCCCATGGAAGCGCTCCAGAGAATTTAAAATACCTTAAGAGCAGTTAAAGCCCTTCAGTAATATCATTACCTCAAATGGGAAATTGCCTTCACCCAAAGTCACAAATTAATGATAAAGTGAGACCTGGGAAACAGGAACCTATTAAATCAGCAGTGAGACCCCGAAACAAGCCTGAACAATTGCCACTTCTCATCTATTCTCAAACAAAGATCTTGCTGAAGAACCAAAGTCAAGGCCAGTGTAATGGCTCAGTACCAAATTTACATGGTATTAACCCAAATAAATACTGCACTTTTGAAGTTAGTGATATAATTTCCTATCTTCCTTTTACTTGGGGGCTTCCTTTCTCTCAAAGGCTCCTTGAAAAATAAAGTTAGAAAAATAACCTTGCTATAAAGTCATAGGCAAAGCTGTCTACTAGTGCTCGATGCCTCCTGGAATAGCGCATGATATAACACAAAATGACTGAATAGGCTGCGAGCTAAAGATTGCATCTTCGCTTGGCAGGCAGGACCAATTTTAGAAACAAAGTAATCAAAATCCCTGGTGGTGGCTGAACAACCTTCTACCAAACAGCATCCTCTCCAGCTGATTTACTGCACAGACTAAGATCCCTGGCCCCCAAAGCAAGCAGCTACACGCTGTCCTTGTGTGCCTAGCCTTGCTTTGTGCCTCCTTCTGCCCAGACTCCTCCACAGCCAAAAGGAGAGGCTCCAAGAGTAGCAGGCCATCCCAAAAGGGGATATATCGGATACACTCCCTGCTTCCCACCCTTCCCTATGGCCAGCAGCGCTAGTCTGTCTCATGGCTGTGCACATGCCTTCGAGTGACGGAGACGAGGGGGGACAGACCTGGAGCTGCAGCTATACAGCTCTGGCTCTGCTGACCTCGCCTTTCACAACACCCCAAGCTTCGCAGGGAGCGTGATGCTTAGCAGAACTGCTCTCTCTACTACAAGCCCACATTTTGCCATTTCATTAACGGGGACAAAATACGTTATGCTTGGGGTGGCAAAACATTATTTTCCCTGTACTGCTCAGAAGCCTTGTGCCAGCACAGGACGAGTTATGCACAGGCTGGGTTTATTTTGTTGTTGTTACTTAATGATGCATAAAATGTGTCTGTGTCTTTGCTCATGATCACATAAAGCTTGTTCCTCTACAAAAATAACGGGGAGCTTGTGGTCAAGGCGAGGAATCACACGTAGACTTACCAGACTAGGCATTAACACCTCCTCAAGCTTTCTCTCCTCCTGTGAGCAACCCTCTCTCAAACCAAGGGTGAATCTGGGCCTGAGATTCCATTTCGGTGGAGAGCTGCAGGAAGCAAGAGAAGAGATTTACAGGCCATCCACCAGCAAAGGAAGCGGGGGGAGTCAACTGCTATGCCAATTTGTGTCTTTTCCCTCCAACCAACGGGTCCCAGAAGGGCTTTATAGCTGAGTTTCACCAGGCCCTGTGGACTGAGTTAATCTCTTTGCCCATGCCAAACAGTTAATCATAAATTTGCATCTCCTTCTGGCTGCATTACTAGTTCAGCTAGGATTTCATCTATGCCTTTTCTTTGGGAAGGGATAAAGGAGGTTTTTGAAGAACGTAGAGAATGCTTTTTCTGTGATATGCCACATTTCAAAAATGCACTGTCCCAGCTTTCCAGAGAAGTCTTGTACTTTCTAGTGTTAGAATTAATTCTGCCTCACAAGTTTTTCATAATGCATTGGCCTTTAACGTGCTGTGTACATGTAACTTGATCAACTGTTTTTGCTGCCTTATCAATTTCACTTTTATTTGATTATAATTGATTGAAAATTTTTACGTATTAAGTATATAGATCTGGGGACTGACATTTTTTCTAATTTGTAAGATGTAATGTAAACCCATGTGCAACTCAAAGGAAAAGCAAAAATAATTACTGCAACAAATAATTCAAATAAAACGTTAAGGATGGCCTAATGGTAAGTTTTCAACAGTGGCGTTACATGATTCCACAACATACTTCACAGTGCATTAGGCAGATTTTAATAGCATGTATTAGAGAAGCAAAAATATGAAAATGTTCTGCACAATGCAGTTTTTTTCCCCAATACGCTTTAAACTTTCTTCTTCTTTTTGCAACTTAGAAGTCTGTAGCGTTCAACAGCCATTCTAAAATCTAGACAAGAAAATAAGCTCCGAGTTCTTTAGTTTGAAGAATTAATAAGATACACTAATTTTGTCACTGGAGCTGGCAAGCTCCTCGCTTAAAATTCTTGCAAAATTCGTATATTCTTTACACATACATATTAAAATCTGTAGAATCTTTACACTCCAGTGTCTTCTAGATACTGAGCATTTCCTTTGAACGTATAAACGTTTAGCAGTAGGTGATTTTTGTCTTGCCTTCTTCAAAGCTAGAAATTCCAACCATTTTCGCTCTGATCTGACAGATTCTCCATCTTGCCCATCTCAATTGATTTAGGAAGCTTGGTATCGAGAACCAGCACTCTCCACTTCAAACGCAGAAGAACACACAGTGTAGCTAACTATTTTGTGTTTTGGAAACCTATAGGCCTGAATTACAGACACAGCGATGAGTAGGTGCAAAGGCAGAACCGTCTAAGCGATGCGTAAGATTCGCTTCGTGGTTAAACTTGCTTTAGGTCTAGTGTTGATTACTGCCTTAGTGGGCATACAGAAGAGTTTTCTGGGGTATAATGGCCACGGTAAAACTAAACAGATTTTGCAGCACTGAGCACTTGCACTTAAAGATCTCTGCTAAGAAGTGCTTGTCATCTTTGCGCTATAAAGTCATTCGTCAAGTTCCAGCTACCTCCGTTAAGGAAAAATATGCCCAAAAGATATGGATGTGCAGAAAGCCTGAAAATGAGATCTGTTTGCTACACGAACACATATGTTCAGGTACGCTATTTCCTCTAATACTCACATAGAAATAATGCTTTGTTCATTATAAATAGTTCATGGCTGTTGAGTATTAATGCAGAGTGATCCTCATATAATTTAGAACTCAGTAGAAATGTTTTTAAACTTGCTTTCACCTCAGCGTGACCTGTTTGTTCGTGAAATGACCTTAAGACTTCAAAAATCAACAGTGAAAATAACTCAAACAGTAGAATATTCACAGTGAAAGGACTCTTCTAGGAGGTGCTTCTGACATACACCCTCGATTCTGGATTCTGAAAATGCACTGCATGTAAAACACACCAAGTTCTCCTCCTTTTCTCCTTTGAGGCACCGGAAGATTTACCTTTGAATTAACTAGAGATACGCAGGAGTTATACTTAACCACCAAGGGAATCTCTTGACACAAAGGGTGCTTTTGCAAACAAGTATTTCAGCATCTGGAAGTAAAAGAATCACTTAAATGGAGTACCTTGTTAAAATCGAAAACACAGAATCTGAGAGTCACCATACACAGCTTTCAGATTACAATTTGTGTACTATACAACATAGTGCACGATGACCAGAACAGAATTAACTACGGGTAAGGTATCCCTTCGTCCTGCACCTAGACAGGAATAATCCCATGCACCAGTACAGGCTGGGGACTGACCTGCTGGAAAGCAGCTCTGCAGAGAAGGACCTGGGAGTGCTGGTGGACAACAAGTTAAACATGAGCCAGCAATGTGCCCTTGTGGCCAAGAAGGCCAATGGTCTCCTGGGATGCATTAGGCAGAGTGTTGCCAGCAGGTCAAGGGAGGTGATCCTGCCCCTCTACTCAGCCCTGGGGAGGCCTCACCTGCAGTACTGTGTCCACTTCTGGGCTCCCCACTACAAGAGAGACATGGCACTGCTGGAGAGAGTCCAGCGGAGGGCTACCAAGATGATTAGAGGGCTGGAGCGCCTCTCCTAGGAAGAAAGACTGCAAGAGCTGGGCCTGTTGAGCCTGGAGAAGAGAAGACTGAGAGGGGATCTCATCAGTGTGTACAAGCATCTGAAGGGGGAGTGTCAAGAGGATGAGGCCAGTCTCTTCTCCGTGGTGCCCAGCAACAGGACGAGAGGCAATGGGCAGAAACTGAAACCCAGGAAGTTCCATCTGAAGCTGAGGAAAAACTTCTTGACTGTGAGGGTGACAGAGCGTTGGAACAGGTTGTCCAAGAGGTGGGGGAGTCTCCTTCGCTGGAGCTATTCAAAACCCGTCTGGATGTGGTCCTGGGCAATATGCTCCAGAGGACCCTGCTTGAGCAGGGAGGTTGGACTAGATGATCTCCAGAGGTCCCTTCCAACCTAAACGATTCTGTGATTCGTGTCATTCATTCCCATCTCCCTCAAGAGCTGACTTCCATTCTTTGCTGAAATAACTCCTTTTGTGGAAGGCAGTGATCACTTTGACAAAGTGATGAGATACAATAACTTGATCACCCTTGTGGGAGCCCCTCTAGTATTCATGACAGCTGCAATTCTAAGTGAAATACATTTTTTTGATTCCTCCTACTCCTTAGCAGCAAGGAATCTCTTAAAAAGAGTCCCACCACATGTTTATCTAATCCGTTTCACAAAATCCAACAATAACCTTCTATAGCACATCAGTTAAATGTCACTTTCAGTACAAAGAAATTCTCAAATCCTATTAGAAAATGTCATTACCAATACAGGAAGCAGGACTTAACACTATGCTTAACAGAATTCTCTCTCAATTACAGATAAGAGGAGAGGAGAGTTTCCAAAAGGCCTATTTACCTTTTAGTAGGACATCACCTAAAAAGAACTTTCTTTGCAATATAGGAAAAAAAACAAAACAAAACATACTGAGAGCCAAAGTCATCTCTGCCTCTAATCCAGATGTGACCACAGGCAAGTTACTGAGCTTCGTTGCCTCCATTTGTATCAAATACATAACTTCATTGTATGCCTTTCTCTTCAGACAAGAAGATTATTCTTTCCTAGCTCAGGAAAACCCAAGATTGTAAGACAATTCACCCTGACCAGTTCTACTGCTCTCAGTTCACCAAGAACGAGACTCAGCTCTCCAAGTTTAGTTTCACTGCAGTCCCAGCTGGCTTAATATATAGGCTTGTACAGAACAAATAAGCATAGGATGGGTTAGGTCTAAGGACATCAGCTGTCTGTCAAAAGAACTGTAACGTTTGAGGACAAATAGAAAAGACAAGCGAGATTCAGACCAACACAAGATCTTGCTTTATGCTAACAATATTATGGGATTTACCCAACTTTATCCCTTAATTTCATAGAGGTCCTGAAATTTTCCCCTCTTGCTTTCCTACTAAATAAGCTGTTCTGTTGTATTTTCTCTTTAAAATGTACTTTTTGCTACTGATTGAGTGTGTTCAACAGCCAAGTAGAAAAACATTTTTCCTGTTATTCAACCAAATTTTAACTATATTACAATTGAAACACTATGTGTCAAAGTATCAGAAGTTTGTCCCTAACTTGAAAAACACAAAAACATGTTCACTCAACTTTTGTTTCTCTTACTGCTGAAGTGTTTTTTTTTTTTTTTTTTAAAGCAACAGGTATATCAGGCTAAATTGCAATAAACCCCTTACAGGTAACTGCAGTAATTAATTTAGGTTAATTGTTGCTTCCACCTGGCTATGTATTTTTGCTTCCTTTCTCTTTCTGCAGGCTCACAGCTTAGTTAAAGGAGGTCAAAATTTGCCTATAACAACAGAGGATGTTATCATTCTTTAATGCATTCCTGGCCGTGCCTACTTTCTGATGCGGATAAAAGATTGCTTGTAGTACTGTCAAGACACTTGGGCATGAATTATTAGGCAGCTTCCTTATAAGTAGATGAGTTATAGCTTTAACGTAACCAGGAAGGCACTCTAGACGTTTAACCGACTGTTTCCTTTCCCTGATAATCATACCAGGGCCACACGAGCACCTTGATGCTAATATGTTTCCATTTGCTATAATTCCTACCTTCCTAAGAATTTATGCTGTGAAAAGATACAGTCACATCCTATCAGATATTCCATTTCACCAGAAAGTCTGCATCCCAGCTAAGAGTAGGGGCTTGACTTCCTGTCCAGTAGAAGGGAGGACAATGAGAAGAAACACTGTCAAACCCTCAGCCCATAAGAGGGCACAAGTAACCCGCTCAAACACCAAAAAGTAGCTCTTGCTGAGTTGTATCTAAGTTCAACGTTCTTGAGAAAACTTACTATCCTTGCCAAAAGGGAGGAAATCGGAGCGAGCAGTGGACAGAACTGCTCATATCAGATAAAGGAGCCAGCTGTCTCATGAATACCAGCGTCCACACAGCGCAGAGGTGGTGAGAACAGTACGCGCCTGGCAAGAAAAGCCATACCCTGCACTTGTATACTGCCGTTGCTTCTATGACTACTATTCGCATCAGAAGAGAAACGTCACCCAATGGAAGAAAATTCATCTTCATGACTTCACCGCTTTTAGGTTAGAAACCTAAAGGTATAGCATGCAACACACTACTAATCAGGAGCCATTAGCTGTCACTATTCCTTTTATTCTCTGTTCTGCAACTTGCATGTCACTGATCACATCACTGTTCTTTCATGAGAAGATTTCAAAAGCACTGTGTACATCACCATATATTGTTAGCTCTCCATGTTCATCCTACCTTAAATATAAGTTTAAAACTCTTTTCTTAGAGACCTATTATATCAGAGGCTCATCATAAGCGATGCCACAGGAGTCATTTAAGGTTTTCCCAAATAGTAGAATACTCCCACTCACATCCTGAAAAATGTGGAGAAGTTCAAGCAAAAGGAACTGACCACATGTCCGAGACTAAACCAACAATGCATATCATCTTCTACCCACTTCATGCTCCTAAAACTTAAATGTCTGCTATGAAGTAAGTTCCTATGTGCAAAGCTCGCAATCATGCTGAGAATTTTAACAAAAAGCTAGAAAATTCTTCTCAGTCTGTGGCAAATTAACTCTTGAAATCCTTTCCACCAAAGATGCACAGAGAACCTGTGCACTTTAAAACATTCCTATATATATTCTTAGGAATACACATACATGCGTGTGCACACGTGTGTGTCTCCTGACACGCACACGTACATATATTTTATATATGTATAACAATGTCTCTCACTGAGACTATGTCCTCAGCCTTTTTGACTTCAATCACCTCATCTTCTCTCAGATAGTAAATTGTATCCGGCTTCATTCTGTAATGCTCTCGATAATGCTTTCGAATGCTATGTGCGGGTTTACTGCAGCATGAGAAAGCTGCTAGTTAGGAAATTATATAGGAAGTCATCCTTACTTTGTCATCGAAATTCTGGCAGGTTTCCAGATCTTTTTGTCACTAGTTGCACAATATCATTTCATTACGTTTGTTGACAAAGGGAAAAGAGAGCTCTCCTAGCCGTCATACTAAACAGAGAGATCCGTTCCATTACACACGTACAGAAGATGTAATTTGCTACAACATAGGCCCAAAATCTGAGAAGCCTTGGTAACCCATAGTGAATAGACAGACAAGCCTTTTCTCCATAAGTCTGGAGTTGTCCCCAACACCTATTCAAAATTGCCCTTGCATAGAGGTTTTTCAAGTCTGCTTTTAATATTCAAAACAAGATTTACATTAGCAGAATTAAACCTGTCAATAAAACAGTGGGCAACGTCAAAATAATTTTACATCTTGGCATTCTCCCCACACAACTGTCTACTTTTTTAAAAAAAAGTGTCATCAGTTGAGATGACCAATTTCAGGCTTGCACAATTGCCTCTTTTTACGAGTAAAATTATTTGCTTTAAAGTGCCGTTTATGGTTTGCTTCCATAATGTTCTATTGACATTATATATTCTTCCCTGTGCCAAAACTGCAACAGTTTGGGGTTTTTATAGGCCCCTAAAGCTGAACACCAGTGGAATTGTTTTTGAATAGTTATGTAATAAGAAATTATAAATTTGACAATGGGAAAACATTGCCAAAGCAATGAAAGCTGTTCAAACCCTTAGATTCTGTTCTAAGCTTATCACTAAAATCATAAGATGTTTCCCGGTTTTGGAAATAGATAATATAAACGCATGAAGCTTCACCAGGAAAAAATACACTCATTCAGCTTTCTTGCTTTTCTGTGATCCAGACTTACACTCAGTTTTCATCTCTGAGCCAAAACCCAGCAATATTAAAGACAGGTAATGCCAGGTCATTCAGTTAAAGATGATTGTATTTAATCACATTAATCATGTAGAAGCACATAAGGAGGTTATAGCTGCCTAGGGCAGTCGAAGAGACAAAAGCTATTTTCTCAACATTCAAGTTTGAAAACAGTGAGCTTGTTCTTGGCTAATGCCATCATCACTGCTTTTGTTCCACATATACACTTTAACTAACACACACAGCTGTGTAAAAAGCTCTAAGCTAATAGCAGGGCACAGTCACGCATCACTACTCTTCCACTGTTAAAGGAACATGCGCTTTGTTATTGTTCAGTTTTGAAGCAAAAGCATAATCAAAAGAGATACTATACTAAGAGAATACAGTAAAATAAAAAAAGAATGAAGTTACTTCAAAAGCGACTGTGTGAAATGGACAGCAGAGGAATGCTCAATACTTTACTTTATTGCAAAGGAAAAAGAAAGGTCTTGAAAACAAATGAGACTTATTCTTATTGCACCAATCATTTTAAAAGAATGATGATTCTATATTTAGAAAAGAAGCCAGTCTGTGGATTTCACAACCATATGTGGAAAACATACGAAAGGGAAAAGTGGATAGAATCGCCAAAGCAGCGTGGGGCCAAGAATGGCTAATTTTTTTTTAATCCACCCCAGAACACCAGAGAGAAAAAAAAAAAAAGCATCACAAAACCATCATCTGGAACTATGGCTAAACAGAATCTGACCAGCAACATGTAAAAACTTGCAGCACTGCACTGCTATGGAGACTAAACTATGATGACAGCACTAGAACTAATAGGACAGTTTTAGGACCATTTCCAGCGCTGCTGCCCATCCTGTGTTAGTTTGTGGAATAAATAAAAAATTTCAGTCTATTATTCTACTACAATTTTTGTAATGAATAGGCTGTAGATAGAATAGCAGGACTTCCTAGTCTTCTCTTGGAACTGCATGGTAAAGAGGAGTTTAATGGTCAACAAGCAGCACACAATTGGCAAAAGTTTACTGTGAACAGCAGAAAACTAGTGACTATATTATCAAAATAGATACAAGGAAATGGACTGAACATGCAGTGTTACCACTTTAAGTATGCGCCCCAGGACAGCCAGAACAGGGTCTGGCTCTTAGACCCCAAAATATTACTTTTAGCACCTTCCTTTATGAGAAAATCTTGTGCCTAATGAAAATTTGCAAAAGTTTAATTTTTTTTTTTTTTTTTTTTTTAAAAAGACCATCCAGCTCTGCCAAAAGGCATATGGTCACGTCTGCACTTACTCTATCCAATCCATTGCACAGAGTAACGTATCAATATTGACTAATTGCCAGAATGCTCTTATGAGACAAGCAAATAAAAATATGACAGTCAGATGCTACAAGCAGCGCTGTACTCAATCAGATCCTCTTATCGCTGTTGCTTTTTCACTAGTGTTTTCAGACTGGGTAGTCTAAGTCAAGCTGTATATTCTCAATAAGCATACCATACAGTATACACCTATGTTACTGATAACAAGCTACAAGGTACATGGGTCATAATGAGAGGGGAAAAGGGGACTGTTCTTTTACCAAATTAAAAAACATCTTCAGATTTTTATTTCAAAATTATGACACACAATTCCTAAACTACTACTTCATTCCAAGTTTTCCAGATACGTTGTCCTTCACAAGACTATATCTGCCCCTGGGGAAAACACAGTATTTCCGCTGCTCAAATAATACAACTTGACAGGGTAGGACAGGAATTAAAGCATATTTAACTAAGTAAAACTGCAAATTCCATTTAGAGATCCAAAAAACATAGCGAGCCTAAGAGTGAATGCCCTCCTCTTATAAAAACAGCATGGAGGTGTCAAGAGCCACAGCTCATCTGCAGTCTTCCTTTTTATCACTGGAGGAGCACACTGGCTCATTAAAAAGATGTTTCTGTGACTCTTATTTTATAAGGCAAAAATCTGAGAGAGGGGTCAAATGACTCATTCCGGACCAAGACCTCACAGGACTCAGTAATGATGAGTCCCCAGGCAAAGAGTGAGCATATGTAGGAGTTTTCACAATACTCCCCAGAGATGCATGGAAAGAAGCGCACTGAAGGAAACAGCAGCAACTGTTACCTCCCGAGGAAATAGACTGAAAAGGTTTAGACTCTGGAAGGACAAAATACATCTTTTTAGTTTACTGTTTTGCCTTCTCAGCAAAACAGCAATCACAAGGTGTCCACAAGGAAGAGGAGTTTTGCTAGTGAGTCACATTCCCACTACCTGGAATAAGGTGTTTGTTGCTTAGTGATCTCTATGTCCAAACACTTTAAAGAAATAAGAAACAAATTTGCATATGTCAGAACTCAAAAGGAGATTTCATGACTAATATCTTTATAGTACGCTTCTTGAAACCAGCCAGGATGGTTGCATTTCAAAATGACAGTTGTCTTGACTGATACATTTTTAGACTCACTACTTGCACGCAGCCAACTCTTCAGCTCTTCTTTACCACATGCTGTACAACAATATTAGAGATTCTGTATACATCTGCACATAGAAAAGTTTCTCCCATCTAACTTAATGTTTTGTAAGACATACTATGAAGTACGTGCAGGATGTATTTCAAATCAGTGCCCATGTCAGAGTGTTTCATCGCTTCTGGAGATACTGGCTCTAAGAAATTACCTAATGTGCTCCTATACCTACATAGGTGTGACACTTACCTGTATACTGGATTTTTGTTCTGGACTCTGTCGCTTGCTAGCTGCCGTTCTAGGGAAAGACAACGTAAATAATTAAAAGTCAGAAAGCTTCTCCAGTTGCTAACGCAACTGGAAGAACTGTAGAATAATTTTTCAGAAGTTATACCAAGGTTGGATTTAATACTGATTATTAAGCATTTAATGATGTGCAGCAGAAAGACAAGCAACTGTAACACAGAAAAAACAGTGCACAGGAAGCACTGATTTTATCTTACTGGCTTTCTGCCTCTATTTTCATCAGATTCTTCAGGAGCAATGGCAAAGTAGATTAAGCAGCAGTTTTTCGCATGCAGCCAGTACTTCTCTAACCCTCCTTCCTGCACTTTTATCACATCTCTGATAACGGTGGTATGTTTTCATTAGTGATGGGGTATCAGTAGCTACTGGCACAAGCTCAGAAGTCACATCCAGGTGGCTGTCTACAGTTTCAGGTGTGCACTGCTGTTCAAAAGCAGATGTTTCCGTCTTAGAACTAACCACACAGGCTGGCTGCACGGCATGAAAATGTCCACATCCGCCTTGGCAGACAAAAGACACGTAGTAACAGTAATCAATAAGCTCAGCTCCCTCCCTTGCACTTACGGTATTTTTGTAAGCCACGGTGTATTTTGCAGGGGGAACCTGCCAGTGTTTGATTTATACACATAGTTGTCAGATCCAGTGGGCCCTTCCTGGAGGTTTTCTCAGCCCCCTTTTAATAGGGTTAAATAGTAAATATCCTACTTTTCAATTGCTACTTGACCGATTTTTGGGTACACACAGTGGGTCTGAATGCCTGGAAAAATATTTTAGGTAAGACTTATACTATGGATTCTAGCTTTTTAAGGTCGCTAGATTATAATTTCACTGCTACGTGAACATGTGCGCGGTGTTCTGCGTATCTCCATCACTGCAGTAACAATTTGGATACTGCATTGACTTCTGCTTTACGTTTATACACTAGCATGCAGTGTTAGACCTGCGTTGCGGGGCAACTGTTTAAAGATGAGGTAACTCATGTCTGAAGCTGACACATTCAGATAGTAGCCAAGTCAGTGGCCCAAAATGTCAGTAAGTAGCAGTTAAACTCAATTTCTCATTGGGTGACCTCTCATTCCTACTTAAAAGGATCCCAGTTGAAAACCCAGACCCACGAGCTACAACATTGTTGTTCTTCTCAAAACCGTAGCATTTTAACTGTAATGGTGGTACCATCAAGCTGCTGCAAATTATAAAATTTGTAATTTCTTTCTAAACACAAGCTGGTAGATAGCAACAGTCCATCAGCATGAACAACAATAGAGTTGCATGCAGTAGCTTTCTCTGTACAACCCCGTAATGCAAAAAACTTGCGAAAAAAAACTCACCCACTCCTCACTGCAAGGCAGCTATTGCTCGCAGCCAGACATTGTGAGGGATCAAACTCTCCTTCCAAGAAGCAAACAGCCTGTTAGGAGACTGGAAGCAGCAGACAAAATTTGCACACAATTAAACCAGAATCTCAATCTGCAGCCACCAGAATTCAGTGTGTTTTTCAAAGATGTTCTGATTAATCAGATTCCTAATTAAGAGTGCTTTAATTGTGTCTACTATAATTATGAAATTTCTTTATCACTGTCTTGTTACATGGTTTGCTTTAAACTACAGCTGGATAAAAGCTTGACTGTGCTGATAATCCTATTATGTTTTGGGAATTACTGTGCACCAATTAATTAGATTAAGAGACTAGAAATGAAGACAAGAGTTGGGTGCTCTTTGCCCTAGCTGTGGCATTGCAGGCTTGAGCGTATGTCACAGCATTAGCTGTAGGAGGCTATGCAGACAAATTTCTGAAATAAAGAGACAGTTTATATTGGCAAGAGTGTCCTTTTGCTGTTTAGGTTAACTTGGGACAAGCAAGGCAAAAATTTGAGAGAGAGAGAGAGAGAGAGAGAGAGAGAGAGAGAGAGAGAGAAAGTCTTCTCACCAGCTAACAAAGAGAAACAAGCCGGCCTAATGAAAGAGCAAACAAATCTCTTCTTTAAAATTTTGTCCTGCTTCTACCATGAAGGGAACTACTCTACCAAAATAAGCCACAACATCAGGAATATTTCTCTCTACTGTAACTACAACTATATAAAATGTGTTTATTTGTGTATTGGTGCGTGTATGTGCGTTTGTGGTATACTTTTACCAGCCATAGCTATAACATCAATGATTAAGTGTGCTTAAGGTAGCAAAGGATATGATTTTACATAGAATTACCCATGCACACAACCATGTTAGCAAACATCACATTACATTCGCAGTTTTTACAATTAACTTAATCATAGGTAAAAGTACAGACTATTTCTCTAACCTTATCTTTCTATCTCGTAATAAAAATTACAGCTACTTTGTCTCCATTAAAATTTACGAAGACAGCTTATATGCATTAATTGCCATCCTTTAAAAAAAAAAAAAATCCTTTTTGGTAGTGAAGACAGACACCTGCAATTAACTTACTTTTCATCTCCGTGCATTATTCAGAGGTCTCTCCCAAGTATTTTAAGAGCGATTCAGCAGTAATTCCAAAGCATTTCTCAGAAATTCCTTACCATGTATGGACACAAACTTTTTTTTTTGGGAGTACATTCTGTAGCTTGCAGAATGAGTGTAGCAGAGCATGATTTCTGATACAACTTGGAAATGGGCTGCCCTCAAGGTTTGCAAATGATCCATTATTTCAATTTAGGGCTTAGTCATTTATTATCCAAGAGAGAATACTACCTACTGGTTAGAGAGGGGAGCATGACTCAAGACTCAGGCTCTATTCCCAGTAATTGTCAAGACCTCTGACCTCGCAAGCAATCATTTTAAGGGCCTTGTCTTCTACTGTATACAAGATACTTTGCAAAGGTACTATAACACAGGACAAAACGTACTGTATAATTCTACCAAGATAAACTAGTTAGTAGTAAAAACTGTTGAGACTTGCTGTGAAATATTAAGAACTGAGTTATGCTTCTATTCCATAAAACATTAGTAAATATTTGTTTGTTAACAAATATGTATTTGGAAATATTGGCTTGTTTTGGGAAACGAATGAGGTGTTGCTGAAATGCGACCTCAGGGCACGCAGCTCTTAAATCTTCACTGACAGGGGGAGAGAAGCTGTAACCTGTTTTTAGGCAAATTATAAAAGGTCTGATGAATAAATTACGAATTAGTCAAACTCATGTATTTCATACACTGCTGTTAACAGTTCATTCTAAGATGAACCGAGATTTCTTTGTAACCCACTTTCAGCCCTGATATTTCTACCAGCTATATAAAAACTGGCTAAAGGAAATCAGCCATGTGAAAATTGTATTTTAATAGAGAGTCTATTACAGACTTTAAAAATAAAAGTTGTGGCGGTTGTTACTGTCAGGAGACTGATTTAAAAAAAAATTAAAAAAAAAAAAAAAGCAGCAGCATGGAATGCTCTGCTAACTTCTGTACAAGAACACTCCTGCCTATTTGCCAAGCAGCAAACAGTATTTTCTCTTGAGATGTGTTTGGGTACATGCCTCCAGCAACATTTCACAAGCTGTATTTATGAATTTTAGTTACAGTAACCTGTACATGATACAGAACAAAGCAGAAGATAACATATTTCTCTAAGCCATCGACCTTCCCAGATTCCAACAGAGGCAGTAAATTAACAATTGGCCTTAAAGACCACAAGAATCAATAAAAGACATAAGCCGTGGATACTATTAAATGCCAGACTTTGGGACTAGGTATTGATTTTTATTGTCAAAGTATAGTACTGCTGCAGGCACAAGATTCACTGCTGACTTCTGCTCTGTATTGATTTTGTAAGAGCAATCAAGAAGTCATATTTAACGACACGCAGCTCAAACTGGTTCCCGCTTACTGCGCAGGGGTTTTAATCAACTAAGTCTTCCCATTACATACATATTCCCATTCACGTTTGTAACTGCCTTGAATAAAAAGATCAAAGAATAAGGTTGTCATTTTGTTATCCCTAAAACGCCACCAAATTCACTGTACTCATTAGTTTAGTCGCATTTATAGATCTTCAGTGCGCAAGGCTTCAGCAGCTGTCCAAAAATTCCGTCACAGCTTTTCCGCATGACTTCGCATCTTTGCTGCTTGGAATCTCACACCTGTAACGAAAGACAAATTGCAATATCGGAGAGAATCATTCCCTCAGTTACACGGCCGCCTGACAGCCGACTTGACCTATTACACAGGGCCCAATTAAGATTCCTTTGCCAGGTAGAGTTTAAATGACCCCTACTGATCACAGTTACAGTATCTAAGATGATAAATCCTTTCTCCAATACAAACTAAATATCCTTTGTCTTCAGCAAAGATGGTGAAGTCAGGAAAAATAAATCCAAGAGAAAGCTGAGGAACGACTTAAGATTAGTCTTCACTTCGATATAAACCCTTTTAAATGAGCACAAATACTCTTGCGTTGTAACTGCACATACAAAAATTCAATCTGTTTTTACTTTTGTAACCTCTTCATGATGGAGACTTCTGATAAAGACAATTTGTTACTACCACGAGCGCTAGAAATGAATACCTGAATTATGGACTTGCTGAAACCACTGCAGACAGAGATATAGGAAGTATAATTATGAAGAGGGTTAGATTTCAAGGAAACATTCAAGTCATTAGGAAGTCTAGTGGACATTAAAATAAAGAAAGAAATGAAGGAAATAATAAAACCAATTTGTGTGGAAAACAAGATGGAGAATGGTTAAAATACTCAGGATATGAGACTATTTCTCCCAAATAATATGATGCAATATATAATCAGTCATTATGGA